AATATAAGTCGATATTTAGACACAGATTCTACATGATGCGCTGTGATTGGTTGAAATGAACATCAACAGTTTGCGACATTGGTATAAATCTTTTAAGATTACAATAGTGAGAAAAATAAGAGAAAATAACTAAACGAAATTGAAATCTAATTTAAATTAGATTGCCTTACATCATGCCCTTACACCTTGATACATATTCTAAAGCCTGAGCAAGTCCTGCCTTTCCTGCTACAATACCTCTTGTGCGCATAGGCGCGGTAACAACCATCCACAATATATTCCTCCCAAAAAGAAACTCTGAGAAATAATAAGGTAGATCTCAAAATGACACAACATTTATCATGTGAATTGTGCCACACATGTTGGTTTCCAATTTCACATACACCAACAAACAGGTGAATTGGGAGGAAGGTTTGATTTGCTATTTGCCTGCTATCATAGCCTGTGACAGCCTGGGTGTATGAGTGTCTTTCGAAGGGCTGAAGTGGACTGTGGATATGAAACGAAACGAAACGAAATTGAATTGTCTGGGTTTCGCTTCCGATTTGGCTAAGAGAAGCAATTGATTTGGCATGCCAAGTCAACACTCTGCTGTGTGCAATGGGGGAGGGGAAGAATTAGGTTTGACAAGTCAACCAACACTAAGATGTGTGCCATGGGGGAATTGATTTTCTGACAGCAGCATACCCTACCCTACTCCTAAATGCTTTCCAAATATAAGGAAATCTGCAACTTGTGCAGTGTGGCAAAACACAGCAGACAATTAGACTGAAAAAATCCATACCTGGCAAAACAGAGCATACAATTCAACTAAAAGAAATTTAAAAATGGCCAGCAAAGCATTTACAAAATTGGCAAAACAGACTTTACATCACTGGCAAAAGATTAGAAGTGTTTGCAAAAACAAATTAAACAGCAAAACATTGGCGAGTATGGCAAATCAAAGCACACAAATTCTATATCATTTGAACTTTCGTGACAATTTGAACTTGTCAAGCGTAAAGTTTTTTATTTATGAAGGTCTAAAATTTAAGGGGAATTTATCATGTATATTTTTCTCAACCCAATAAACTGAAGATTATCTGCATCTAGTATTCACTTATTAAGAGATTTTCATTCAACCATTGTGTATGACTATGACTCAGAAGCAGCACAAACTAACAAACATCTCAGCAATGCGGTAGACAGGAGATGGGTCCAATTATTATTCTGATTCACAGTCACAATCCTGATCTTTCAACATCAAAAAACAAGGTCAATGTATAGAAATTTCAACAAAGAAAACTGCAGAAATAATTTGTATTTACAACATAAAATAATTGATATTGAAAATATCATTGAAATTCTAAAATGTATAAAATAAAAAAAATTTGATTTCTTTTTGACTTAGATTATTGTTCAAGGTGCAGCCTAAACTAGTTTTGCAGCTGGGCTTCTTAAAGACTTGATATTTTTTGTTTAAATCTTCAGAATACGTAGAAGACATATTTCTCTACAATTAGGCGTTTATTTTACTCAAATCCGTACAGTTGTTTTCTAACAGTTTCCAAAAAGCATACAAACTTTACAAGTTTACGTAAGCCTTATAATTAGTTTTGTCATTTAATAATTAACAGCAGGATTTTTTTTAAGTCAAAACTTTGAGATAAGTCCAGGGATACATTTCTCTACATTTTGGTGTTTAGTTTCATAAATTTCAGCAAAAAAAAATGTTCTTCCTATTTTCGATGCTTCTTTAAAACCATGGTTTTAGGGCATCAGGTATATTTAAAGATGGGTTTCCTTATCTTTTTAGTGTCAAATTAAGCAAACTATTTGAATTATCATGTATTCTTAATCATATCATTATGTTCTTATTGCATATAATTAAGAGTTTTAACCAATCATAAATTTCTGGATAAACAAAAAAAGACTTTTGACCTTTCTTGATCTGTCACTCATTGGAATTCTGCTGGTAATTCTCTTCTAATTTAGCTAATTATGAATTAATTATGGACATGTGAGACAAACTGGTATTTTTCCAAGACATTAAAACATCTCTACTTTCTATTCATATAAAGTATTAGCATTTTTATTTTCATAAATGAAAATAAGGGAACCCATCTTTAACAAACCAGAATAAGAGTTTGGGGGCATCAGGCATATTTAATGAACCAGGATTACAGTTTTGGGGCATCAGGCATATTTAATGAACCAGGAGTAGAGTTTTGAGGTATCAGGCAAATAGGACTAATCAGGATTAGTGTTTTTTCAATGAGTCATGGCCTATTTAAAGTTCAAAGCAATTAAGCGAGTTGGCTGTGTAATAAGATATGCTATAGGTGCATAGACATTAACATATATATTAAGTAATAACAGCTTCACAACATCCTGGTCTATGCTGAACTGTTTTTAGTGCAAGGGTTAGGCATAAAGCAAGGAGAACAGGGCACTTGAACAATTGATAATCAACATTAGTTTACTACTATACTATAGAAATATCCATCTTTACCTTTACCCTGATCACTTACAAATTCAAAATCCCTGCTCAGTGTTCAATTATTGGTAAAAATCAATCACTTATACAAAAATACAGTCTTATATCTTTTGACAACTTTACCTAATAATGTAGCCCTGATCACTTTTCAAAATTGATAATCAACATTAGGTTACTACTATACTATAGAAATATCCATCTTTACCTTTACCCTGATCACTTACAAATTCAAAATCTGTGCTCAGTGTTCAATTATTGGTAAAAAATCCATCACTTTACCAAAATCAGTTTTATATCTTTTGACAACTTTACCTTATAATGTAGCCCTGAACACTTTTGAAAATTGATAACCAACATGAGGTTACTACTATACTATAGAAATATCCACCTATACCTACCCTGATCCCTTAAAAATTCAAAATCTGTGGTCAGTATTCAATTAGTAGTAAAAAATGGCTTATTTGTAGCCTCTAGGTCTCTATGGACTGTTTACAATCTATTCTTAACTCTCTAAACTCTGACTCCTAAAAGTATTTTTAACCCTTTTAAGACCTATTCAGGCATGAATATATATATAAGGTTTGTAATGTAGACTTTTTAAAGAGAATGTAAAGGGTTTTCTATCTTTTTTATGTGTATCTGGGACACTGATGGTATCAATTTGTATCATTCCAAATTTTCAGTCAGATGTCTGTGGTTCCTGTAATTATGGAAATACTTAACCGTATATGATTTTACTATTGAGAGCCTATAATGTCTAAGGCCTTTGTAATAGCTAGTTCATAAAATGTATAGTTTTAATGGAATTGCAGGAACCACAGAAGTCTGATTGAAAATTAGAACAGTGGAAATCAATGCTATCAGTGTCCTCAATACATATAAAGAAAGTTAAGAAAATCTCTTTAAAATTATCTGACTAAATTATATATATAGAAAATGTAACCTGATATTTTGGTCCCCTAAATATCTTGTGTTCCTCAAGCTGTGTCATTCTTCCGTCTTCCGGCACAATGAATGATCAAAAGTGATAGGCAAACTATATATATATTCGGGTAGGCATGGAAACACAACCTCAGTTCTAAAGAAAAAGAGGAGGGGGGAAGAGAGAGAGGTGGGAAGAGAGAGAGAGGGGGAGGGGGGCACTTACTTACTATGTTTTAATTATCTTCAATGCAAACTAAGATCTTCATGTTTTTAAACACTTGTTGGACCTCCTGTTCTAAAATGGCTGCCCTGAACTTGATTTTTCTTGACCTACACATTCCATGACTACAATTTTAATGAAGCCAAATCACTGAGCAGTTCTAATCTAGTTTAAGAAATAGGCTTACTGTAATCTGATTGGTTAAAAAAACTTCATTTTAAAATATTTCAACAATTGACCAATCAGATGACTGGAAAATTACAGTTAGGAGTATGTGAGTCTCCTCTATCAGGACCCTAATTTTAACATACTTGCCTTAACAATAGAGAACCCTGTGCCAGTGCCTTCTGTTGAAAAACAACTTGTTACCTTTCAACCATCCTAATCCCTATTATTTCAAGTAGTATTTTTCATCTTGAGTAGTTATCCCACAATCTAGGGCAATCAAAGCAAATCAAGGTCAATCAAAGCAAATCAAGGGCAATCAAAGCAAATCTAGGGCAATCAAAGCAAATCAAGGGCAATCAAAGCATATCAAGGGCAATCAAAGCATATCAAGGGCAATCAGAGCAAATCAAGGGCAATCAGAGCAAATCAAGGGCAATCAAAGCATATCAAGGGCAATCAAAGCATATCAAGGGCAATCAGAGCAAATCAAGGGCAATCAAAGCAAATCGAAGGCAATCAAAGCAAATCAAGGGCAATCAAAGCAAATCAAGGGCAATCAAAGACTACACTTGAGAAGGATTCAAGCAGTATTCAGAGGAAAATATCAAATGAAATAATGCCTTTTATTTGGGCTATAAAAAACCCAAGTTTCCCCTTTCTGCCATGGCTTCTATGACACTGACAGTGGCGAACATGAATTATGAGTTGAATGTAGTCTAATCTCTAAACTATTTAATGGGAAATAACTAAGAAATTAAATTCCCAACCTTTTCAAAATGTCTCAAATACATGTCAGCCATTCTATCCAAAGTTATTATCATAATCTCCAGCAAAACTACATTTTTCATATCTCCTTCCATTAAATCACATGATCTAATTCCTGCATATTGATTAGTCAATCAGTTGTGTTTTCCTCAAGTTGGGTATAATGGACATTTCGAACCTTGACATTTTCTTTAGAATTTCTTTTAGCTTTTTTCATTAGAAAAGATGCAAATTTGATTTTATTTCTTTAGGTAAATGCATTGAACATAAATTGGAAATTCTGTTTTTGCTATAGTTTTCAATTTTGGCTAAATAAGGAATTTCAAAAAGTCGGGCGTAGAGAAATTAACTGTAGTCTGAAATATTCATACATGAGTTAACTCCCTTTATAAAGACTTCCCTCTGTTACTATTTTTAGTATTTCCGGTTGAGGGAATTCCGCTCAAATTGTCAACAATAAAATGGCTGGAAATTTTTGGCATAGCTCACATTAGTAAGTTTTTACATATATTTCACGACTGTTGGCTGTTTTTTAATTACCTTTCTGTGTGTAGACATAGTTCCTCCGTCCATGAAAAAAAATTCTGCCTCAGAACAGCAAATATCTGAGTGAAAAACGTAAATTAGGATCTCCACCATTCATTGTATTGTCGTCGATGCCGGTCGGCCCTAGTCCCTGCCATAATTGACTGCCAAACAACACTTCCGAAAAGGTTTAGCACTGCTAGAAGTTTCATACATAGGCCAATATAGCTAATGTAACTATTCCCTTTTTATTTCAGTCAACAATGGGTACTGGACAAGCAAGACTTGATGCGAGAACGTCAAGCAGATTTAAAAGTTGTTTCTGAAGATGAATACAGCAAAGTTATGATCTTTTTTGCCAATTGTAAGTACCGATACTGAATAGATGTCAACCAGCAGATTCAGAAAAGCATTGTAGCTTACCATATTGATAAGGGATCTAACAATATTTGCACAGTTGAAGTGACAGTTGTTAATAGATTTCAAAATAAATTTTGACAAATTATAAGCTTAATCTAAGTTAAAAAATTTTTGTACTATCATTCTATGATTGCTATTTTGATGTAATTCTTTGGCTGTTTTTTTTTTTTTTTGCAGTTATCCAAGCTTTAGGTGAACAGTTGAAAGTTCGACAACAAGTTATAGCAACAGCTACTGTTTATTTCAAACGATTTTACGCAAGGTATATCTCAGAGATGTATTTTTTATATTTAAAATTTAATAAATTGCAATTTTAACTTATTATGTTCATAATATGTTTTCTAAATGTCCTTCCTTAAGATGGTTTTCTTTATGATTCATCTTACTTTTCAGAAATTCATTAAAATGTATTGACCCATGGTTAATGGCACCGACTTCAATATTTCTGGCTTCAAAAGTTGAGGTATGTTAAAACTTGTCTTGTAATGAAAATTTTTATCACATAAGCGATATTGGTGAAGGATTTATGGGTAACAGTTTCCTTGTTAAAATAATTGGTCACTATGAAGCAAGTTTGAAATGTCTAATTTATTTTTATAGCCCAATCAGAGACAGAAAAGTAGGATGTAAAACTCACATTTCATTCTGTTTTATTTTCAGGAATTTGGAGTCATTTCTAACAGTAGATTAATCTCAACTTGTCAAACAGTTGGTAAGTGTAAAGTTTGAATTTAGGATGTTCAGGGAAGCTTTAAATGCCCCTAATACACATACAAAGAATAGAAAGCTTGATTTGAATCCTTTTTGTCTGTGATTCAAATCAGAGAGGACAGCCAAATGTCTAAACCCAGTAGCAAATTGATTTCACAAGAAGGTGATCATAAATTGATAGTTTTTGTTTTTGATGCAAAATTTGTAAAGTTTCTTTTTTGCAGTAAAAACCAAATTTCCTCATGCTTTCAATGGAGATTATCCCTACAGAATACAAAATGTTTTAGAATGTGAATTTTATCTTCTGGAAATGATGGTGAGTGGCATTTTATAATTTCAAACTCTTCTTTAACAAGTTTATTGACTTTACTGTTTTATGGGAGGCATTTTCTCGTAACTGGTTGAACTTTCAAAAAATATTTCAAAACGTTATGTAAATTGATGAATGATGATCATCATTGTCATCATCACTCATCATTATCATTCTATATCATCATTGTCATCATAATCTATGATATTTTATAGGATTGTTGTTTAATATTGTATCAACCATATAGACCTCTAACTCAATACTGTAATGATCTCAAACCAGAGACACACTCAGTACTCAATTATGTATTTTGATTTAAGTTAAACAGCAACATTTTGATATGATATTTTATAGGATTGTTGTTTAATATTGTACCAACCATATAGACCTCTAACTCAATACTGTAATGATCTCAAACCAGAGACAGATTTATTACAGGTTTCTTGGTAAGTTAGTTAATAATTTTTCCAATCACCTGAAAGTGATTGGTTCTCAGCAAGCTAATACGTTTGAGTTTTTCAATATGGTTTCTCCATACCAGTGCATATTAAAGATGCCTCACACAATTGGAAATAGAAAAAGAGTAGGCTAGTGCAGTTGTTTTAGCAAAATTTGCCTCATTGCACACTGCATGGCTTTGCCTGTCCTTTTTATCCGATCTTGGTAAGAAAAAGTCTACTGTTGAATTCATTTCACTTGTATTTTCAGGCGTATTGTAAATGACAGTTTAAGAACTGATATACCATTACTGTATCCACCATATCTTATTGCTATAGGTAATAGTTCGAAATTTATTTTTCTACTCCGCTCCTCCCCTAACCCAAACCATTAGCCCCACCCCCAACCATCCTGTCCCTACCCCTAAGCCATATGCTTAATGGACATGAAAGTTCTTATCTTTGAGTTCTTAATGCCCCTTTGCTGTCAGCCCCCCGTGAAAATTCTGTGGCTTCTCCTCATCCCCTCAAACTAATGATTTATAGAAATGCCACTGGGTGGGACTTATAATTTTTCCATAATTTTATTACAGCGTGTTTACACATGGCTTGTGTTATCAAACAGAAAGACGTGAAACAATGGTTTGCTGAACTCTCTGTTGATATGGATAAGGTAAGTGGTCATCACCATGACAACAAGCATTTCCTTTTCACAAGAATTTTTTTTTTTTGTTATTTTGAATCAGAGTTCTTTGCAAAGTTATAATCTGATTGGTCAATATTATTGATGCAATTACATCAACCAATCAGAGTTCAAAGTTTTGTTAATGCCTGATTGGCTAGTATTATCACTGCAATAACATCAACCCATCTCAGTATAGTTTCAAGTTACAAAGTTTTTGATAACAAGCGTTTGATTGGTTAATATCATCACTGAAATAACATCAACCAATCAGATTTCTTCAAATTGCATAATTATGTTAAAGCTACGATGTCTGTGTTAAGAAGACTTTAGAATATTTTGCTTTGATATACAACTTTTCATTTCTATTGCAGATTTTAGAAATTTCCAGGCAGATCCTCGCCCTGTATGAAATGTGGAAAACCTACGATGAAAAGAAAGAAATCGCGGGAATCTTGGCAAAAATACCGAAACCAAAACTCAACCCTTCCAGGTCTTGTTATCTCCCTTACTGTCTCTCTCTCTCTTTGTCTGTCTGTTTTTGGTTTTCAAAGCGGAAGAGCTTATACTTATTGACTTGAGCTCATCTCATGCTTATTCTAAAGCCTCAGCATGAAGAAACAGAACTGGAGCTATTGTCCCCTTGGCATTGATTGGACGATTTCAAATCCCATGATGCAATATTCTCGCATTAGTCATCACTAAGTAGGTAAAGTCTCGCTAAATCACGTACATGAAAGCTGATAGGGGGCTTTGGCCATTCCTGTTTAAGAGTTTGATCCCCATGTTGTCTACACGTTTTGGATACGCAATCCTCATCAGGACAGCTAGTTTTTGATTGAGGGGTTAACATTTTACACAATTGCTCGTTTGTTGTAATTTTAGAATTCTTTCTAGTTGCTATAGTTACAAAGCATCTTATATTTAACACAAAGTAGAAATAACATTAGTTACTATTTTAAAGAGATTGTGAAGAGGTTTTCTAACATTTTTATACGTATCATAGACACTGATAGCATCAATTTACACCAATCAGATGTCTGTGGTTCCTGCAATTCCAAACTAAGTCACTAATCGCAAAGGGCCATATGTGATACAAGCATATTTTGGCAATAAGTGACCTCATCAAAGAGTTATTTTTTTGAATTGCAGAAACCACAGACATCTGATTAGAAATTAGAATACATATAAAAAGTTTTGAATACCTCTTTACAATCCCTTTAATATTGTTCTTGAATGAATGTTGTAGAATTTTGCTAAAATAATATTTTGCTCTCTGATTGAAAAAAAGAAAGCAAAATATTTTTTGGCTTTATGTGTAGATTGAAACTGATTATTTTGGCAAAAAAAAAATTTTGATTTGAATTTGGGTTGGAAATTGGTTTCGAAATGATCTGGGAAGTACTGAAATGATTGGGAAATTAATGAAATGATCTTTGAAAGATTTCTAAATGATTTAGAAATTCCAAATTGTTAAAATTTTACAAAATGATTCAGAAAAATTGATAAGACATTATTCTGTGCTGAAATATTGGAAATTTTCAGAAACGCTTTGTAAATTATTAAAATGATATGGAATTCCCAGGAATGGCATGATTTGGCGCTGTAATATTGGAATTTTCTGAAAATGAAGCCATAAAAATCAGTTGTATAGATTATAGTTGTAGTATATAGATGTTGTAATCTTGTATATATTTATTATTAATCACAGGGAGGAGGGTGACATTAATTCAACAGCTTGTCCTAATACACAGGTAACAAATAACAGGCTCTTCCAACAATTAAACACACCATCGAGAACATTTTTTTCTGATTCAAATTTCAAAGTAAAAAAGTTCAAGTCCCCATTTTCTGAATCTTAATGACCTAATGCTGAGATACTAATCATGCAGTGAACAATGAGGCAAAATGTTTTTCAAATTGGACAATAGATTGGCTTTTATTTCCGTTATTTGGACGTTATTTTTCAACAATACTTCTGCTATTTTTTGGGCCCCGTGTCACAAAATTTGAACCAAGCTAAATTCAGATTTTAAGAAATTATAGCAAAATAATAAAATCTTACTTCCAAATCGATTTAAATGATTGACCAATCAGTTTACAGGACGTCTAAAACCATCCCAAGTTAGGATTTCACAAAAACTGGCTCAAAATCCTTCCCTTTTTTCTCCGATGGTGTGTTTAATAGCTTGAATTGCTTAAGATAACTTGGCAATGGGTCTCTTTGTGTGCTTGGCATTCTGTCAAAAAAGCTACTTTTTCTTTCAAATTCTGCTTTCACATCACTTTTCCTTTTCAATCAGATCACTACACAGATATTTTGTTTCATACTTTTTCTGTGGGCTATTTCAATCATTTGTGATCTAACAACATTTATAAGAAAGTTATGTTCACCAATACAACCTATCAAATGTCGTGATTGTAAATATCTTGACGAGTTTTGCGGAACTCCAAGATGTTTATCATTGGACAATGACATGCACTGTAAGACCTAAACTTGATTTAAATGGGTGTCAGATCTTGATTGGGTGAAATAACCCACAGAAAAATACAAAACAAAATATCAATCATGTATGTCAATAAAGATGACTTGCTTTCTCTCATGTAAAGAGCTTTTAAATATTACTGCTTGAAAGAGAATTGTAAAGTGGTTTTCTGATATTTTATGTGTATTGGAGCATGGAGCCATTATTTGCATCATTCCAATTTTCTGTCAGATGTCTGTGATTCCTGTCATTATAGAAATGCATAATATACTTAGTTTTAGTGGAATTGCAGGAACCACAGACATCTGATTGAAAATCGGAATGGTACAAATTGATGCTATCAGTGTCTCCAATACATATAAAAAATTTAGAGAGCCTCTTCACAATCCCTTTAATGATTGTAAACTTAATGGTGAATTTTCTTTTTCTTTTTGACAGGCCCCCATCGGCTGGTCCCAACAACCAGGAAAATAATACCCAGAATTCCTCATCACAATCAAATCAACAGTCGTCTAAACACTGATTGGTTGATTTTCAGCCAATCAAAATCATCAACCAATGAAATTGCATATAGAAGTAGAATATACCAAAAAAACATTTTCAATGAAATTGGAGATTACATTCTGCTGAGAATTCCTGCAAAGACATTGGCTGGTTATTTTTAGCCAATCAAAAAGACTTTAGCAACTTTGCTGAACATTTTGTGATGTCATAAGCACTCTATTCGAAAGATGAATGAACAAAGAATAAAGGAAGTAACATTAAATGAATGAATGATCAAAGAATGAATGAATGAATGAATGATTCAGTTAAAAAAATCTCCAGCTCGTTATCTTGGTCAAAGCTGACGCGATATATTTTTGAAGGACAGAAAGTCAGATGGAAATATAACACATTTAAGTTTTCTAGTCTGAAACTTCTGCCTCTATTCCAGCCTCTGATAGATATTTTGAAAGTTATCTGCTGTAGTAGAATCAGAAAAACTAGGCCCGATTTTATGGGGATTTGCCAAACTTTTGTAGGTTGGTCTAGGTTGTGCATATTTGACATCCTTGGCAGACTCAAGACATTATTGTAAATACTGTACAATTTTACATTAAAAATTAAATATGTAGATATATAAAAATTCTATTTCATTTATTTTTGGGGAAGTGTATGTATAGTTGTGCAATGAAATTTCTAAAATGTGAATCACGTATAATTCAAAATTTCAACGTTTTATGAGGTAGTTATTGCAAATTGATATTATAAGAATTACACGAACCACAGACACTTGACTGGAAAAAAAAGAGCTAATGAGCTCCGATGCATATCAAAAAAGCTAGAAAACCTAATAACAACTGCTTTCACTGAAAAATCTTAGGCAAAGACCAACTGGTAAAAAAAACTCTACAAGACTTGACTTAGGAATATATTTAATTTTCATTCAACAAATACGTAGAACAATTTTTAACATAACTTTGATTAAAATACAAAAATGAAAAATTTGGTGACAATTTGAATCTATTTAAAATTGATTTTACATAATTCTAGTAATAAAGAGGTTACTATGCCTAATATTTACATTAACTAATGGTTAGCTAAAGATGACCTTCCAACAAGCAGAATTTATAGTCTGCTAGCAATTGGCATTTAAGGAGGCAGACAGCAGACAGAATCCTAGAGGAACTGGGATTTCGAGGACTGTTATAGAAGTACTGGCCATGGCATCAGAATTTTCTAACCTTAAAGAGGATTCAAACCTATGGCACCTCATCTCCTAACAGACGACAATCCAATTCATGAGCAAGAATGATCACGTGGTGCAAAATCACAAAATGTTTGCTAGTTGGTTTTTCGTGGCTCTTACACCATAGTGATTACCAGTTGTAAAGGAAAATGAAATGAATGGAGTTTTACGTCCTACTTTTCTGCACGATGTGGGCTAATGAAGACGGGCAACGCCATGCAGGGTACAATGAGGGAAATTTTGCCAGGACAGCGGCGTTAGCCTGCTCTTTTTCGATTTCCAACTGTCGAGGGATCTTTAACGTGCACAGTCTAGTTTATTGTCCCCATCCGAACGACTAGTCGCTTTTTCCGTGTCAGCCCCTCTTACCTACATCACTGACAGGGGCAGGGGGAAACTAGGTGTAACTTAGTTGTGAATTGCGTTAAGAACTCATGGCAACTTGCGTAAGTGTGCGAAAAAAGGTGTTAAGTTTTGAATGGAACTATCATGCAAACTGGTAATCACTATGATGTGAGGGCACCGTAAGTATAAGTTTTCACAAAGCCCAAATATTAAAACAAAACTGGCCTATATAGGATTATACAACAAAACATCAAGAAAAATAACAAAGGGTCTCCCATAAGTTGCGAGTCTCACTAGTATGAATACTTAATTTTCAAAGGCAAAAAAATATCTGAATCCTCAGCTATTGCTTTCGACATCTGGCTTGCCTGTTTTCTGTTCCACATAATTTCTTATCTAAATCTTAATAAACAGCTAACAAATAGAAGAATACAAAAATACTTGAACAAAACCAATAAAATCATGAACATTATTATTTATGTACAAATCAGGAAGATCAATTTGATTTTTTTTTTGTGATCCTTTGCTTTTCCTTTGTACATTGGACACAAAATACTGTGAAAATTCTTACATTTCAATCTTTACATTGTGGCTATACATTTGTATCCTAAACTTTGCCTACAAGCATTTCAAATATCATTACATTACTCATTTGATCAAATAACTTTCAAAACAATTAGATTTGTGCCCATATATGTTTGTAGTACGTATATAGCTATACTTATGGATTTTGTATTCCAAACCCTTGCCTACAATCTTGTCAAATAGAATTACAACACTCATTTTATCAAATAACATTAACAACTCCAATATAAATATATACTTCATATATTTCAAGATTTTGAACATGAAATGCATGTAATCACACTTAAATATCTGGTCTGTGAACTCTCTTAAATTGAAAATGAGTTGACAGTAAACATGGACAGCAGAATTATGTGTGAAATTTCAATGAATATAAGATATCAGATTTAGAATGAAAATTAGAATGCTGATTTTGATCTTAGAATATTGTCATTAAGAGTCAATATTTTCGTTAATAATCCTCCACAATTCTTCGGCACTGACTACGTTGATGGAACTCTGGGCATCGTTGTTAGCAACAGCAGTCTGTTCCTGAGAAATCGTCAACGTAGCAGCATGATCTTCAATACGACTGTAATGCCAAGCTCTAGGATTTGGATCCACGTTCAAATTGTAGACGATCTGTTCTACGTCTACGTTTTGTTCAACTCCCTCTCTCGGTGCTGTTGTTACAATGAATTCTGGGTACTGAACCACTTCCTGTATGACCGTCTGCTCTTCGATAACTGGTTGTTCAATAATCTGGGTTTGAACCGGTTGTGTTTGTGGTATGAAGCTTTGAACCGGTTTACCTGTGACTAGTGATCTGCCAAGAATCGTTTTATGATGGGGAGGCGTCTGGGGCAGTAAGGATTGACTTTGGATTGAGGTTGGAGTCTGAGTGTAAGACTTGGGAATCGTGTGGACTCTGACCGGTGATTTTGGGCTGCTGGTTGATGCTGTGGTGGTGTAGGTCACAGCCTGAGGAGTTTGAGCTTCAGAAATCTGTCGTCCTGAACTGTCAATCAAAATTGTCTTCTTAGGAACTGGAGTATTCGGTGTTTTGTTGATCAAAGTGACCTTTGGTGAACCAGACACAATTTGCCTTGGTGATGATGTAGCTGATGATGTCATTGAACTGGTTGTCATGAAACCAGTGCCACCTACTGACAGTTTCTGGACCAGTTTACCAGTTGTGGGAGGTGTGGTGGGAACAAGCTTCTTTTCCTCAAGTCTCGGTGGGAGGAATGATTTACTCTTATGTGCAGCATGGGCATGGCTTGTGACATACTTGTCTTTTGAGAAACGCTGTCCACAGATGTCGCATTCGTGAGGGAAGTGCTCTTTATGGGAATCCAGAATGTGTTCAACGACGTCTTTTTCTCGTAAGAACGTCATATCACATTCTTCAAAGATACATTTCTTGACTTGGCTCTTTTCTTCTGATTGGTCATCGCATGATCCCTTACGAACTTCGACCTCAGCAACAAGGTCATGGACTACACCAATATGCTTCTGAAGGAAGACAGCTCTGACAAACTTGCTTGGGCAGAAGGGACATTTGTAAGGAGTCTCTCTGTTAAGATGGTTGTTTGAGATGTGCGAGATCAGAGTATGTCTCGCCATGTATCCTATACCACAGAATGGACAATGAAGGGATATGCCGCCACTATGGATCTCTGTCTTGTGCTTGGAAAGGTCATCCATGGAATCGAAGACCTTCTTACAAAGAGTACAATGATACTTGTGCCCATGGAGAACATGTTCGGCTATCATGTGCTTTCGCAGATCTTTGGCGGTGGAAAATTCTGCTTGGCAAGTCCAACATCGACTGACCATTCCTGAAGATGTTCCTCTGTTACCGTCCATGTGCCGCGCCTTAATGTGAGCCTGCAAGGTCGTAGGTTTGTCGAACTTCCTCTTACAATGAGGGCAAATCTTTTTGGCTTCCATCTTGTCCCATTCACCAGAGGTGTGGCTTTCTAAATGCTTTTCCAAAGATCTTGGATTTTTGAAAACTGCTGGACAAAGATGGCAGAGCTGGTCAATAGCTCTGTGGACTTTCTTCTCATGCTGTAGAAGTCTAGACTGCAGCATGAATCCTTTCCCACAAACACGGCATTTAAAATCAGCTTCGACCTCATGCATTGCCTGCATATGCTCCATCAATTTCATGTCGGACTCGAACAACAGGCTACAATGATCGCATTTGACTTTGCACTTCTCTATCAATCTCTGCTCAAACGCTTTGAAATGCCTATCCAATCGATGCTTCGAACGGATATGAGACAGCAGATTTTTGTTGTTCAGGAAAAAGGAGAAACAGATCTCACAGGGAACATTGTTGGTGTTTATCTTCAAGAGGGGATCGATGCAGTCATCCACGGACGCCTCTTGGAATTCATCCTCGTTGATCTCGATCACAGACGTGTCCACATCTTCGTCAGGATCATAATAATCTTCGAACGTCTCCATACTTTCAATTTTCAGACTCGGATCAAAATCGCTGTAATCTGGTTGGTCAATTCCTTCCACCATTTGACCTGATTCGTCGACCAGCGTTACTGGTGTACCGTCTTCAGTGAACAATTCTTTGATGTTTCCCTCCGCATCAAATAAGTTAATCGGGACCCCATTCTCATCTGTAAAAATAATTCGCTCTCCTTTTTCGTTGACGGGAACGTACTCCTCTGGTTCTTCAGGTTCAAGTACCGCCTCTTCGTCAAAAGTGACCTCAGAAATGTCAAGGTCAGAAGGCATAGTTTCATCAAGAATTTGCGACGGCATGGACAGCAGATCTTCAATTTTTTCAACCAAATCACTGTCAGGTTTCTCACTCACGCCATCTCTTGCGTTCTCTTCTAGATTTATCTCCCCTTCCAAATCTTCAGGTTTTTGAACCTCCATTTTTTCTCTTTCTTCCTCTTCCAAAATGGCAGATTTTGTCTTCCTTTCTTGAATTCTGATTGGACGACCTTTTGAGGTGAAGGTCACTTGCCGGAATATTCTCGGAACTTCGGCTGAATTGACTGAAACAGACGGTTGGGCTTCTGGTTTGTTTTCTGAAAAAAAGAAAATGGATTGATTAGTTTGGAATTAATATTGGAAGCTTTTCAGCTAGAGATTGGACTACAATATGCAGTGTACAATTAGGTAAATTCTGCTTTGATTGTGACATTAGCCTATTTTCATACATGCTATAGACTGGTGCAAACAGACCTCATTTAATTGTCCCAACTGAACGTGTAGAGGAGTTTTCCATGTCAGCCCCTCCTTAAAAATAACCAAAGATAATACATGTACATCCATCAGGAGTAAACCTATGCCAGGCTTGAAGCCCTGTTCCTTGCTGACCCACCAAAGCTACATTTCAATCACAAGCCCTAAACATATTTACTCTGAGCTGAATTAGCTTTGATACTGAGCCCCGCAAGCTCAATTTTTATAATCAAAAACCATAATCATACTACTTACTGAGGGCTGAATTAGCTTCAATACGTTTGTTTTTAAGCTCTAGATATTCTGTATCTACTTGGTGTATGTTATATATGGTGGGAACAGCTAACTGTTTCTACAATATCAAATATCCAACAATGAATGATGTTTGAATCCAGTGTTATTTTGGCAAAAAAAATTATGGGATATTCATTGTTAAAGACTGACATACAATTAAAACTGTCTAACAATTTAAAACAGTGTTTTGGATTGGTTCTTTGACCCAATTGTGTTAAAATTCAACTGAACACAATATGAAGATGAATTTAGTCGGATCATGGATGGCTAGCATAGTAACCCTGCAGAAAATCATGCATTGGAAAGAAGTAGATAATTTTGCAAAAAATGTTGAGCCTACCATAAATGTTTTGGTGAAATTCAAGCCATCATCAACATCATCTATAGGATTAGTTTTATCTTTATCCGTTTTACGATACAGGTCAGACCCATTTTTAGTCTTCTGTCGCGTCTGCACTTCCTCTACTTGAGTTGTCTCCCTTTGTCTCAAGTAGTCATGGTCGCTCCAGAGGTTTTTATTCACGGTGGTTGGTTTGATTTTAACCAACGGAGTTCTTGGAAGTTGATTACCTAGAAGAAATAACATGAACGAAGTTTTATATCCTACTATTCTGTTCAAGATTGGGGAAATGCAATATGAGAGGGAATTGTATCTGGATAGCAGTATCCTATACTTTTTCAATTTCAGTCAGTCGACAAGACACAACTTAAATAAACAAATGTTTTTTTCCGTAAAAAGGTAACAAAACTGTGGCCTGAGTTACAAGCAAGCCTTGTTTTCTAAAAAGTTCACACGTTATTTCAGGTCACCCCGGGGCTTTTAAAATGGAAAATTTTACATTACTGGCAAATACAATCAAATCAAGAGCCAAGTGCCACTGTCATTAGTTTCCACTTAGACAAAAACCAACTCTGTTTAAACTAACTTAAAAAGTGAAAGTAAACTAACAAAAATAATTGATAGTTATCATGAATAGTAATTACATGTGAAATCAGATCCTCACCTCCAGTTTTAGGTTTGATAATTTCTGCCAGTCTGCCAGTTCTATTGACTGGAGTATCATTCTCGTTTCTCAGACTACTCAATCTTTTACCTGCAATAATAACAAATAAAAAAATTCAAACTTTGTCGACTGCAAAACATTTAAAATTTTTTATTTTCATCTTTTTCAAGCGAACAAAAGTCATTTTTTGGGGATGTTTTTTTTTACCAAATTAGAAATTAAAAATGGTGAATTTTTGTAAAGTTTGGATAGCTCAGGGATTTTGCAAGAAGTCATTTTGTGCTAGGCTTTCAGTTTCAACGATACACATAAAAAAATTTAGAAATCTCTTCACAATCCCATTAAGATCTTTAAACATTCACTTACCAATTGGTGTCTGGTCTCTGCCAGGTGTTATCTTATTCACCAAAAGACCATCAAGTTCATTGCCTTTACGTTTCTTGCCAGTGGTCTCTTCTTCATCAATGGGATCCCAGTCTGGATCTTCTTCTTCGAAGAATTCCTCTTCATCCATTGGTTCCACATCTTCATCTTCTTCATCATCGTCAAGGGTAACTGTCGAAAATGACCCCTTCTCTGTTCTTGCTTTTTTCAAAATTTTCGTTCCCTTCCGATTGCCTTTAAGTTCTGGTGGATCTTGTTCAAGCATCACTCCAATATTATCCACAGGTTTCAACTGTACTGACTGCAACATGGCATTTTTGGTTGCCATCATTGGCGGCAGTTGTAAGCCACGATGAATCTTCTTAGCAGACGCAGCCTTGCTTGGATATGTTCTAGCAAGTGCTGATTTCGGTGTAAGACCTCTCGGTGGTTTGATATCTTCATCTTCGAGAAATTTTGTTGGTTTTTTAATGACCCTTCCTGTACGTGTTCGGCCACCAATGGCTGGTATAGGTTTGTTCAGGGATTCATCTTCAGAGGGCGAAAATGACTCCACATCTGAATTATCCTCGCTTGAATCAAGTCCATAAACTTTTCCTGATTTGACATCCAGCTTTTCTAGAACAACTCTCAAAGATTTCCGACCTGCATTTTTCATCCCTCCTCTTTTGGCCGGCTTCTTGGTAATCTTGGGGATTTCATCCTCTCCAACTGAGTGAACATCATCATCGTCGGAGATGTCATCGATAGTTTCGACATCTCCTTTCTTCGCTTTCGAGGCGACAACCTTCTTGGGATCCGATTTACCTACTAGTTTTAAATCCGATGGATGACAGCTTATAATTTTTCCAATTTTCGACACGTCAAATCCACTTTTACTGTCAAAATTAAAGACAACTTTCTCATTTCTTCGGTCAACTTTAGCTGAAAGTAAACAAAGCGAAGTAGCGCCGCCTGGTGTCGGTTTAATCCCAGTATAAATGAAGCTTTCCTGTTGGCGCTTTTTGATCGCGGCAGACAAATTATGTACCAGCGATATTGGCAAAGAAAAATTTATCTGGTTAAGTTCGTCCGCCATGTCTTATTTTCATAAAATCCGTCGGTCTGCCTTGTCCAAAATAGTTCTAACCATCTGTATTTTGATGAAATTCGGACAAAAATCGCTTGTTTTAGGGCGACATGTCCGCTGGAGAATCTTCAAAGCGAAAGAGTCTCAAGGGGGTTAATTTTATTGACTTTAACTCCAGACCACAATAAACTTTCGGGATTAGCCCCAGAGCCGTATATATAAAATTAAATTTTGCTAATATATATGAAGGGTAGTCTACGGCTAGCCCCTTCTTGCAGTCTATAGTCTTTTTAATTTGTACTTACATAGGGGATACGGACCTTGCTTTTATTCGCACCATCTCGAGTTCTCGTCTGGTTCTTGTGTGGATCCAGTAAGCTGATTACACAAAAACTTAACCAGATTGTGACGTCTCTATCACAAAATCCATGTGACTTGAAAGACCTTTTGAATAAAACTCATTTTAAACCAGCGCCGACTGAGCTATCTCATGCCACTACTTTGATTCCACTTAACTTGATCTCTATTCAGTGGAATTAAAGTAGTCTGTAGTCATTGGGCTTAACAGTAAAATGAGGTTGTTTCCCTTTATATGTGAGTCGCTCAAATTAGTATTGGGTGTTCAAGTATTTTCTGGGGTCGAGTAATTTGCCACTGGCTTCCTTAGTTCTTGACTCAAAAACATGTTAAATTTTTAAGATAAGAGCATACTTTATGACAGGCGTCACTGATTCCTCTGCGCTTACTTGTTGTACAGGGCTAAAATTGACGTGGAGTAAACCCCTTATAAGGTTTTTGCATATCGTTAGACCAAGGCCTATGCATTTGATTGCTTGGAGACTCCTGTTAATTTCTCAATATCTGACCTAACCTAGATGTGGAACCACATCAACTCAGGACAACTAATAGAAGGCATACGGGTTAGCTTCCAAATATTGGAATAGCAAAATAGTGCACTCACCGAACAGGAGGGGGGTGGGGATTTAAGTCAACAAGGAGAATATTCTATATCTAGAGCAGTCAGCAATGATCCGAAGCTAATCACAGTTTCAACAAATCATCATTAAAATTTTCAGGAGAATTTGAGAGGGAAAATGACTAATCTAAAACGGCCTGTTGTTTCTCCCTAATCACGACAAAAATCGCCATTTTTCTTTTGTTGACATTAACCATCTAATATTTGATGATCATTATCTAAAAGCGCGGGAACAAGCTCGTGACGGCATAATATTTACCTC